TCACAACGAAATATTTCACTCCACACCAAATATTTCACGAAATATGTCAAAAATTTGCAATACCAGACTCACGAATGTGCCACATTCATAAATCGCTAACAAAACGGTACCAAAACCACGAAAGTGTCACATTCGCGATATACACATTGTGACGGAAAGAGGCAGACTGACATTAGTGAAATCGAATGCATCTCTCCCCCACCTATTTTTATTATTATTACTATTATTATTTTTTGCATATTCGTGATTATGGCATTCCATAGTTGTGTTCAGGATTGTTTAAGTGGTGCACATAAGTCAAAAACGCAGATTTTGCACATTCGCGGTTTTGGCATTGTACCGACGATATGATTTATCCTGCAAAAACTTAAAAAGTTTCAAAAACATGGTGTTTGGAAATTTAAGGAGTTTTGTCCAGTTTTTGAATGTCCCAAAGTACTCAGTTACTTTAAATTGGTTTTAATTTATAAATAACATCGATTTGGTCTATTTTGAAGTATATACAAATAGTATATATAAATTTGAAGTATATATAAATTGTAGGCGTGTTGAATTAGGTTGTATCGATTACAAATAATATGACTAACCACGCAAAAACTTTAAACAAGCTTGAAAAATATGTTTTTTTGGGAATTTAAAGAAGTTTTGTCCAACTTTTTATCGCCCTAAAGGACTCTGTTACTTCAAATTATATTTAATATATGTGAAAACCTTGATTTGATTTGTTTTGAAGTTTATACAACGGGGAAAATACCAAAAAAAAACCTAAAAAAACCAGTTTTTCGTTTTTTTTTAAGGTACACGCACACCTTTCGGAAAAATTAGGAAAGAAATAAGAAATATATTTTTTGATTAAATAGGTACAAAAAATAAAAAAAAAGACCTGCAACCATCTCCAAAAAAGTTATACCCTTTCTTCGAAAAAAAATGCATTTTTAGGTCATGTACGAATAACATACGATCTCACAGACATATACTACAAATATACTGATAGCGGCAATACATGTCTATTCCCCCAGTGCGACAGAGAAAACCGACTCAAAGCCGTCCCTGCATCTCTTTCTAATTTGCCAGGTTTATCGACCACGTAACCTAAATGACTAATGAGATAGTCGCGTGGTCGATAAACCCGGCCTATTATTAAATAAATGCAAGGAACAACACACTATTTACTATCAACAATATGCAGATTGAAAATGTGGAAAACTTTACGTATCTTGGAAGTGTCATAACAGAAAACGGAGGTACAGAAGACGATATTCGTATGAGGATACGAAAAGCCCAACAAGCTTTCAGCACGCTCAACCCTGTTTGTAGATCTGGCGAGTATACTCCAAGGACAAAGATCCGAATATTCCGATCAAATGTCATGTCTGTTCTACTCTACGGATGTGAAACCTGGAAAGTGACAAACACCCTCACAGAAAAACTGCAAGTCTTTGTTAACAAATGTCTACGAAGAATTGTCCGTATATTCTGGCCTAACACCATCAGAAACGAAGATCTGCTACACCTGACCGAACAAAAGAGGGTAAAAAATCAAATTAAGTCCAGAAAGTGGGGTTGGATCGGTCACACACTCCGAAAAAATAGTTCCAGTATCGCAAAGACTGCCCTAGAGTGGAATCCCCAAGGGAAAAGAAAAAGTCGCCCAGTACAAATTTGGAGAAGATCCATCATGGACGAGATAAGAGGTCAAGGAAAGTCTTGGAATGAGGTGAAGGCCTTAGCGCAAAATAGAACCCGATGGCGCGTTTTCACCGAAGCTCTATGCTCCACTTAGGAGTTCAAGAACCCTATATATATTAGTAACATATTTAGAGACTACTTTGCGTCAGTTCTCTCTTTAGCACTGTGGGAATGCGACTGTATGCCAGCAGTCCACCTCTTTGTATTATATGTCTACGTACGGTCTATAAAAATATAAAAGGTTTGTAAAAGCTTCAATTTTGCGTTGAAGCGAAGCAAGCAAAAATTAGCAAAACACATTTAAAGGGGTTTCGCTAATTTTCGAATATCTAACTCATACTCATACTCAATTACTTGCAATTTCATTATAAAAGGTGATACACATTAAGGTGATGACGCTATCGGCTCTTTTTTTTTTAAATGTAACACCCTATATTATATAACTATATATGTAACATTTTTAGATCGATAAAAATGAGCTGATTCCAAAAAAGTATAATACTCGGGGTCAAATGGATATAACTTGAAAGATAAATAATTTATTTATTATCAATTGCAAAAAAGTAGCCTATTACTAGTTTTTAGTGTAATTATTTTTAGTAACGTTTAATAACAATTAAGTAGTACAATAATTGTATTAATTCGTGAATGTTCTGTATTATTGCTTAGAATTATTTTGAAGTAGAAATGAATTTGAATGTAAATCAAAACATTGAAATACTCATGATGATTGGATATAGAGACAAATTGCGAACTCAGATGGAAGCGTGTAATTTATTTAATGATAAATATCCATAAAAAATGCCATAACGCAGTCAATAGTAAGTAGGATTGGAAAGAAATTTCGAGAAACTGGTACGGATGCTAATGCCCCAAATCAGGCAGTCCCTTTGTAAATTATGATACATTAGATGTTCTACTTGCTTTTGAAGAAGATGCGTACTTCTGTGCCTAAGGTTAGTCGTGATCTCAATGTTTGCAAAACAACGGTACATAAAGTAATAAAACTTGAAAAATGGCACCCCTTTAGATACACACTTTTACAGGAATTAAACGAGGATGATCCAGATAAAACAATACAATTTTGTGAAACAATGATGGATAACTGCCACCGAAACCATCTCTTAGTAAAACATGTTATTTTTTCTGATTAGGCTACATTCACATTAAATGGCGAGGTTAATCGTTAGAATTGTAGATACTGGGCAAAAGAAAACCCCAACTGGATGCGGTAACATCATACACAATACCCGCAAAAGGTAAACGTATGGGCTGGCATTATAAGAAATAGAATCATCGGACCCTACTTTTTCGAAGGTAATTTAAACGGACCAACAGACTTTCAGTTTTTAAGGGGGCATCTCATACCTACTTAAGTTAATTTGTTCCCCAGTATAATTAATCCTGGAGGTTTTGATGAAAGTTTATGGTTTCAACACTATGGTGCGCCTCCGCATTATGCTGTAGATGTTAAGGTGGAGAGGAAGACGTGGACATATTGAATGGCCAGCTAGATCACCAGACCTCAATCTTTTGGTTTATTTTATGTGGGGTCATTTGAAGAATGTTGTTTATAAAACGAAACCTGCAAATATTGAAGACTTAAATACAAGAATTCGTAAAGAAATATACCATTAACAAGGTTCTACAAGAATTTGTACAAAGTTTGGGTTACTCTTAACAAGGGCTATAATTCGAACATTTAAGATAAAGCCATGCATTAATTACTGGATTACTTTCAACTTATTTATTATATTAATTTATTTATAATTTATTAATATTAGAAATCAATAAAAATTAATTTTCTAAGCGCATATTTTTCAAATTATATCCATTAGACCCCCAGTATTATACTTTTTTGGAATCAGCTCCTTTTGATCGATTTTAAAATGTCCCAAAATACAAGGTGTTACATTTAAAAAAAGAGCCGATCACGTCATCACCTTAATGTGTATCACCTTGTATAATAAAATTTTATTGTAAAATGTAGAATATTAAACTTAAAAATCGAGGTGTTTTAGATTTTTTTAAAAAGGTTTTTCATTTAGGAAATATCCAATTTATTCCATACTTTACGGACACACTGTATATAACCTATAAATAACCTTGATTTGATTTATTTTGAAGTCTATAAAATGAGGAAATTCTAAAAAACCTATTTTCCTGTTTTTCAGAATAAAAGAATTCAAATTTTCTTACTATCGAAAGCATCAGATATGCATGTAAATTTTTTGAAATTCTGAAATTGATTGCAATCCACTTAAAAAAAATTACGTTTTTGGTGGTAAGGAGAGTGGGTGACAGGATAAAATTGCGCCGAATCTTATTTTTTATTCACATAAACCGTAAAAAATTCAAAATTTGATTAAATTTATTTACATATAAACCGTAAAAAATTCAAGATTTGATTAAAGTTGTATCGATCTCAAAAAATATGATTAAACTTGCAAAAACTTACAAAAACACTTGAAAACCTTGAAAAACATGGTTATTTGGAGGTTTAGATATGTTTCGCCTGATTTTTGAATGTGCTTAAGGAACATTTGCTTATATTATATATAACCTATAAGAAACCCTTATTTGATCACTATTTTTGAAGTCTCTAAAATGGAGAAACTTTAATAAAACCCATAAACAAACCGTATTTCTTGTTTTTGATCTATTTTGAAGTCTATAAAATGAAGAAACTTTCCAAAAACCCACGAACAAACCTTTTTTCGGGTTTTTGAAAGTGGCGTACCGGACGGAAAAATCTGGAAAAAATTAGAAATATAATTTTTGAATAAATACACAAGTATAAAAAAAACTAGACTTGCAGCCATCCCAAAAAAAAGTTTTTACGCTTAAAAAAACATATTTTGAGACTACATATACTCCACTTAATGTCGATAAATAACACACAAGTTATGTAAAAGCCTTAACCGTGCTTGTGAATTTTTTGAAATTTTTAAATTGATTGCAACTCGCCAAAAAAAAAAATTAATATATAAAACCAAAAATGACGTTTTGGAGGTAGGTGAGTGAGATGAAGGGTTAAAATTATGCTGAGTCTTATTTTTTAATCCCGTGGAACGTAAAAAAATTACGAAATTAAATTCTAAGAGTGAGAGCATTTTGCTATCTTAACAGAGAGTATACTTTATTTTGCGATAGTTTTGTCATCGAGCGGTGATGCTAAGTACTTATCGGACTACCATCATATGCTGCTTATTAATGTTTCCCAAGTAGATTAATCAAAGTTTTTCATAGTTACTATAACGTAAGACTAACTCCGTTATTTAAAACACCTAATGCAAAAAACTAATTTTTAGCCAATGGAAAGCAGCATCCCATGGTAGAACTAGAGCAATGCCGCATATAAAAACCTACTGCAGAGTTTCCCCATGTTTGAGTAAGCTTGCATATTTCTTGCTCACCAGTGCCAATCTGTCCAAATCTGCTTGGGGATCCGGGTTTGGGAAGGACATGGGAGTGTACGTTAGATCATACGAAGCTGGAGTTTTGTTTTTACCAGCTTTTTTTGATGAAGAATATTTTGAGATTAGCAACACTGCCGATAAGAAGAATAAGCGATTGTTTCCGTTTATGTATGATCTACCATTGACGTCATACAAACGTGACGATTATCCATGGTGTAACTAGTTTTTTTATTTCTAATTTATAAATAAAGATTTATACTACTTTTTAATACGTTTTTGTTTTTACTTCACTCTGTAGTTAGTAGGAAAAAGTAAGAAACTCTGATATTGGTAGAAATTAACGAGATCGAAAGTGATAAATAGTGGAAATAGCCCAAAACCTTGATATTAAAAAACTTTGTTATTTTCTTTGGAGTAAATTCGTTTAATTATTTTTATTGAATAAAGTTTTGTTTTTTATAAACTTTTTAAAATTTATTTACTTTTTTCTATTCCTATTGCTGTAAATTTCCATTTAGTGACTAAGTAACCTGTTTTACCGTGTTATTTAAAGAATTGTCTAAAATATGGCGTTTAACGTGAAGCTGCTTGTTGAAAGGGTTATCTAGAATTTGGCGCGGAACGCAGCTATATGCAATATTTAAATTCAAATACTAAGGGAAATATGTACATTATTGGAAGTATTAAGTATTTCGCAGTTGAAACGGGACATATTTATAGAAAAACCAGTAAAAACAAAACATGTACATTAATATTATTAACTATTTGAAAGCAGTTCTTTAATACGATATCTCTCGAGATTTAAATATTAATCAACGTCGATTTTCGATATTTACACTCAGCTACTTTTCAAAAAGTCTGGATATTTATTTATTTAACACGATGGTGATGTGAGAATGTATACTTCAATAAACCTGAAATAGAAAATTCTAGTAATCGGTGAACGAATAGAAGACATATGATAGTTTTCCCATAGAAAGGTAGATAGATTAGTCTTTATTTATTATAAAGATAATAGTAATAAAATGAAAACCCAAGTAGGACCAACTAAGACGCTCTACAACGATTAAAAGAATGAAAAACTTGGGGAACCAAATTTAGAAGTATCCAATGATCTAAACTGGGTTAGAAAAAAAGTAAGTTAAACCACACCTTGTAGTTTAGGTCTTGTTTCAAAATTACTGAAATGCTATTTGAATTCTGAAAGGTTCAACAGATTTTGACACTTTTAAAACCACTTGATAATTAGGAAGATTTGTTATAACGAATTAAAAGATATTTGAGCTGAAAATATATATTACAGAAGCACATATGATCAAAAGACATTCCACAGAATGCTGCGCTTTCTCCATTGTGGTTTTACGTCTAAAAATATAACAATCGATTTTGAAGAAGTTTGAGAAAAATATCATTGGAAAAGAGCAATGTCTGGATCAAAATTCAGATATGCTGACGATATAATCTTATTTACAGATAAAATAGATTATTCATAACATAAGTAACATGAGTTATTTAAAAAATATATGATGTATGTGGGTGTTAAATGGTTAAAGAAGAATAAAAAAGATGAGGAAGTGAAAGAGGAGAAGTAACTACAGTGTTTATATCTAATAAGAATGATTAACATAGAATAATTTCTCCTCGTAGCTTATGTAAGATAGTAATCATCATCATCACCTAGCCTCCAACGTTCACTGCCGAACATAGGCTTATCGCGTGCTTTTCCACTTGTTTCGATTTTGCGATATCTGAATCTAATTTGTAATTACTCTTTTTATGTCATCGGATCATCTCATCGGGGGGTTCACCTCTGTTTCTGTTAACTTGTATTCGGGGTCTCCATTCCAAAATTCTTTTTCTCCTCCGATCATCAACTGCAAATTGGTATATGACCAACACAATTCCATTTTAGTTTTGTTATCCTTTTAATAACCCCTAATACATCTGATCTTTTGCGTATAGTAAGTAGCCTTAGGTTAGGTTAGGAAGGTAATAACACAAGATATGCAGATGACACCATGATTATGGCAAGCTCTGCTTAACAACTCCAAGTTCTACTAAACAAGGCAGACAGTTTCTGTAAAAAAGATGGGTTAAAAATTAATATAAAAAAAGACTTAATACATGATAATAACATGTGAAAACAAATATACAATCAAACATACATTTGGGAGATGTACCGATATAAAGGGTTGAAAAATACAAATCCACTTGTTAACCTGAATTTCAGAGAATCATGATCAAACAACGAATATATATATATATATATATATATATATATATATATATAATATATATATATATATATATATATATATATATATATATATATATATATATATAAGCGAGGTTCCTACAGCCTCTGCCGTTTCTCGCATTTCGACCGCCATCGTTTTCTGTCCATCCATTCGTCTTCTCTGATGGCTCTATCTCTCATTATGTGCCATACATTTTCTTCCCAGGCAACTGAAGGCCTTCCCCTTCTTCTTCTTTGTTGTGGTATGTAATTTAAAGCTTTCTTTGGCCATCTATCTTCATTCATTCGTTTCACGTGACCATACCACACTAGTTGTCTCGTTTCAATTCTATCTACACTGGAATATACAGTATTTGTCCTCCTTCTAATATCTTCATTCCTGATGTGATCTTTTTTGGATATACCACACGCTCTCCTTAGAAAATCCATTTCTACTACTTCTATTCTTTTTCTATCCTTCTGCGTTATCTGCCAAACCTCTGCCCCATAAGTCATAATAGGCTCTACCAAGGTTCGATAGATTGTCAATTTCGTTTCTTGTCTAATATCTTAAGACCAAAGTAGAGAGTTTAGAATGTTTACCACTTTTTTTCCCTGCTGTGTTCTGTTTTCGATGTCTCTTTTGGTAGTGCCTTCTTTAGATATTATAGATCCGAGATATTTATATTCATTGCATGTTTTTGTGTTTCTAATTTCTAACTCTGGATCTTCTTCACCATCTCCTATTTTAAGATACTCTGTCTTTGCCATATTCATATTGAGGCCCCATTTTTCATATTCTTTCTTTAGTTTTCTAAACATGTAGTCCATGTCTTCCTCGTCATTCGCTACGACTACCTGATCATCTGCGAAAAATAAAGCTGTTAGACATTCACCACCGCCTATGTCTATTCCCATTCCGGATACTTGTTTTCTCCACTGTTCTAGCGATGATTGAATATATATTTTAAACAGGGTCGGAGACAGACAACATCCTTGTTTAAGCCCCTTGGTTATTGGAAATGATTCAGATATAAAGTTTCCTTCTTTAACGACACTTCTTGCATTTTTGTATATATTTGCGATAGCATCCACATACTCTCTACTGAGACCTACTTTCGTCAATGTATAAAATAGTTTTTTCAAAGGTATCGTATCATATGCCTTCTCTAAATCTACAAACAATAGGTGGGTAGATAGATTCCTTGCCTTCCGTTTTTCGATTACCTGCTGCAGAACGAATATATTATCAATGCACGATCTTCCTGCCCGAAATCCATTTTGTTCCTCTATGTCTTCATATTCTGATTCAATTCGTTTTTTTATTATTCGACCGTACAACCTCCCAACTGAGCTAGTAACAGTTATTCCTCTATAATTAGAGCAATTGCGTTTATCCCCTTTCTTGTATATTGAGCTGATGTATCCAACATTCCAATCATCAGGGATATTTTGTCCTTTTAAGCATTTATTAAATAGTTTAACCATCATCTCGTGTAATATTTTTGGTCCATACTTTACCAACTCAATTGGGATGTCTCCAGGTCCTGCTGCTTTACCGTTTTTCGATCTTTTGAGGGCATCGCTTAACTCTCCGGTTGTTATCTCAATTATTTGTCTATGTTCAGATATTTCTTCCATTTCGATATCTTGGAATTTACGTCTATCTTCTGTCAATAAGACCTCATAATGCTGTTTCCACTGTTTCAGATCTATTAATTTTAAGTTAGAGTTTTCCTTTCCTTCCCTCCGGAGAGACTTTATCACCTTCCACGCTTGCCCAACTCTTGTTCCACCCATATACCTATCCACCTCTGCACATCTTCGATCCCACATCTCATTTTTACTTTTCACTACTTCTCTTTTTACATCTCGATTTAATTTCGTATATACCTTGTGATCTTCCTCCTTTCTCGTTGACATCCATTTCTGATAAGCAGTTTTCTTCTTGTTTACTAACGTTTGCATATTCTCCGACCACCATTCTTGATTTTTTGTTGCACTTGAATGTACTTTTTAAGTTGTTGGTATAATTCTTCCGCTGTTATATTTTCTCGATCCACATTTTGTAATTTTGTGGCCAGTTGTAATTTGTAAAGAAATTTTGTTGAATCTTCTTTCAAGCTTTCTAGGTTATATTTAGGAGATGTTACTTTTTGTCCCTTTTCTATATTCTGTACCTGGGTGTTATTGTTTTTGCGATAGTTAACTATCACATTGGCCATAAGTAAATGATGGTCGGATCCACATTCTGATCCACGGTATACCCTTACGTCAGTGTTTTCAGCTGGGAAGTTTGACGTTGGATTACAATGTCGATTATCGAGCGCAGATTCCTAGTAGGTTGTATCCATGTAAATTTGTGGATGTCTCTATGTTGAAAAAATCCATTCATAATTTTGAGAGACATTATTTCACAAAAATCTCTAAGACGCATTCCGTTGTCATTGGTTATTTGTTCTCCATATCTTCCTACGACTCTGCTATTTTCTTCTGTCCCTACTCTGCCGTTTAAATCTCCTAGTATAAAGATTTCACAGTTTTCTTTAACTTCAGAGAGTATTTCATTCATATTGTCGTAGAAATCGTCTTTACTTTCTGGATTTGCATCTTCGTTTGGGGCATATACTCCGACAATTACGATATTGTGCCCATTCTTTTTCATTTCCAGTATTAGTAGTTGTTCATTTACTTCAGTCCACGATTTAATGTTGTTTTTAAGATTTTTTCGAATGGCAATAGAGACTCCCCTCTTAGCTCTGTTATCTTTACTCACTCCGCTGTAGATATGTATATATTCTCCTATCTCTTCATTTCCTTTTCCCTTTTTCTTGGTTTCTGTGAGAACACATATATCTATTTTTCTTTCCGCTAATTCTTTGAACACTTCTGCTTGTTTGGTTCTCAGTCCTTGTACATTCCATGTAGCCAATATCATTTTCCTTTTTCGTTGCATTAGTCGTCTTTGTGTTGATCCATCCTTTGTATTCCGAGGCTTTTGGTCGAAATTTTT